TCAAACTGATGAATTTTGGTTGTATGTTGAAAAATATATTCTAGTAATGAAGTTTTAGTATTTTTCMGGGKTTTTTTTCGCCTTAGTCGCATGAACTTTTACAAAGCACGAAAATTAACGAATTTTAGGACGGGTATTCTTCTGAAAAATTCGCCTTCGATTGCATAATCTGTTTCCGGGAGTTAAATGAYTTTTTTAAAATAATAAATAAATGAATAGAGAAGCTGATATTRTGAAAGAGGTGAAWAGCGACAGAATTRATTTTTTTAAGYAAACCTATTAGTATCTTAACAATTCCAGTACCCCGCTATTTGGAAATTTCATGAAAGAAATGCGAACGTAGGATAAAATAACAAGGTTGAGAATACAATTAACTTATTGAGGTGTCATGGGCAATAATGATCGAATCAAAATGCAATCATTCCTATCAGGTTTTCGAGTACGGTTCATGGATTAAACAAACAACTGAACGAATTTGGGTTGTATTTTCAAAAAAGTATTTTATACATTTTTAAGTGTTTCAGCTAAAAATAAGATACAAGTTTAAATATATATTTAATAAGGTGCGACTTGTGTTTAGTTTCCCCAACAAAACACGAAAATTCAGTTGTATTTTTAACAATYATTAYAATTATTTCCTTTTTTTAGGAAGGTAAGATGTAAGTTTATTAGGCCTGAGAAATTTGTTTCGATTGCTGAATCTGTATTGGCGAGATAAATTATTTTTCATTCAGGATACTGAGTACGTTTTTTTTTTTATTTCTATTTTCTTTTTCTTTTTGTTTTTGTTTTTTTATTATTGATATATATTTTTTATATTTGGTTTTCCTTTTTGTTGATCGCGTTTGAAACAGCACTGTGAGAGAAAAATGTACTGACAAGATTTTCGAATTACTTTGATGAATTCAGTTAGCTTGAACTTTTCCGTGTAACTTTAACTGTAACTGTAAATTTAAATCATTTCGGATTTAATAATTAATAGGCAAAACTTCCACATCAATTTTTAGATGTTCTCAATCGCCACTATTTTTAGAAAATACATCCGTATATTTAGAAATTGAAATTCGGGACCTAAATTTTTATTGAATATCTATATTATTTTAAAGGAATTTCGAAGTTTTTCCAAGCATTTGTATCGGTAGAGAAATCGAAGAAGTTACAGAATACTTACCAGCTCTTGTGACTTCATTTACCAACATCACCATCAGTACATACAATATTTCAACGAACTAACATCCATGTTGAAAGCTGAACTTGGTCTGATACACCTTGTACTCTTCTCAAGTTAAGATAATATGACCTATCATATACTGGGCAAATTCACTTGATGATGATTGGCTATTCGGGGCCTAATTACGAGAATATGATTGGTTCCTTTAAAGACATGGAATTTGTGTCGGTGAATTTTGCCTTGTATGTCTTGTATCCGCACGATAAAGGAGTATTCGTGACTCGGCAATTTCAAAACTTTGAAAACACTCTTGATTTTATTCCTTCATTTTACTTGGCCCTTTACGTCGATTACATATGTTTATCTCAAAATATTTTTTTCGTGAAATTACTTTTGAGGGCGTGAAGATTAATATTTGATGTGAATTATTGATATTGTGATAAGTGATTTGAAGCCCATAATTTGTTTTCAAGTTATTTCAAAACAAATCAAATCCCTTAAATTGAAATTGAAATTTTCATCATTTACGTTAAGACTAAAAAAACTGAAAAAAGTTTTGGTACTTGTAAATCTTTTTTGGATAATGAGTGAATGGCTTAAACTCGTTTTAACTAAAACACGCCGATTTTTTTTCAATTTACCGTCGAGATGCAAAGCAAAATAAGATTTGGTGGAAGTCACTTAGCCTCCTTCTGCAGGCATCTCCGTGGGAATTCCCGGGCTTCCTGTGGAGAAGAAAATAGATATAGAGTAGCCTGCTGGCTTGGAGTAGTAGGCACTTTCATCGATCTGTTTCCATGACTTTCCTTATAGATATAGATATATTTAGCAATATTGGTCTTCGAGTTCGAATGGGCTATTGACTCATACAGGCCATGAGGACGAGAGGACTAATTGTTTTAGTCAAAGTCCACTAACAATTYTGGTAAAGAAATAGAAAACGCGCGTGCTTTGTGCAGCTATAAAGCACGCGGGGGTTGGCAGAACACGAGAGGAGTGTTAGGAGAATTAAGCAAGACGCGCAGTGGAGTTCTTCTCGACACTTCTCGAGTGTTCTGCTAATCCCCAAGTGCTTTTATAATAATTTATGACATAATTGGGATACTACGCGCGCCATGATGGGTCAAAAACCATGTTTGATGAGAGTATCAAAACACGCTCGCGTCATTTTAGCGCGCGCAAGTATTGCAACTGTCAGATTTTAAACTATCGCGCGCGCTTATTGGTCAGCTTGAATAAGACGGCACGTAGGGAGAATTTACTCATACTTTGCTTTTTTTCGACCTTTTCGTGCGTTTTTTATTTTATAAAACAATCAAAAACAGTTTTCCGTGTTTGATACTCTGATCAAAACACTTGGAATGTTGGGAGAACACTCGAGAAGCTCATGTTCTCTCAACATCCCGCGTGTTTTGATCAGAGTATCAAACACGGAAAACTGTTTTTGATCTGTTAATTCACACAGCATAGCAAGCAAGTTTTTTATTGATTTTTTTTATAAAATACGAATTACAATGGTAACCGTTATTTTAGATAGGAAAGACGCAACTAAAGTTGCTCTCATAAAGCACGCGCTCACAACCAATCAGAACGCAAGATTTATAACAGTTATTTTATAATGTACTATACATAATTAGTCAGTGTCCTTTAACAAACTTTATTTTCTCTACTATGTCATGGTAACACTTTGGTTAACCCCTGGTGACCACGATGATCGATCCTGTGAGTCTTGTTTAATCAAAATACACCTGTTTCGCATTCGATGCATACCGCTGTGTTTGAAGATCACAGGCTCGTTTGCACAGGCTTAGCCTCGCTTACTATAAGTGAGCTATTCACAGATACCCTTTAAAGTCCGTGGGATTTCAAAACATTGGTATTGTTCAAGCTGCACATTTTCTACTTCAAACTGAGTGGTGAGTGGCCTTCGTTTGAATAACCTTTTTGTACCAAACAAAATCAAAAACCATAAACACAAAAGAACGAGGTAAAACAGAGACTTGAGTTGTGAGTTGAGAATATGACGTCATCAACCTCCTGATTATCCCAAACTTAAAACTTGAATATCTCACGAACCAAAAATGTTAACAAGAAATGAAAAACTCTTCTTTTGCAAAGCCCTTTAACACGTGTTTAAACAGTAAAGATTGGAGACATCAAGATTTCATCGTAGTTGCACTTTAAGTTGACTATTCTTTCACGTGTGAAGTAAAACCACTCTAGCTCATTGTTGCCCCATATCAGTTGTCTATATTTTCCCTTTAATTCTCCACGGTATGGTGTGATTCAAAATTTACATTGTGTTACTGTACTACACTTTGTCAGATAAAAAGCTTTATTAGCCACCTGCATACAGTTTTAATGTCGTTCCACCCCCGGTGTCAATCATCAGCACTAGCTAAATTATGGTGCAAAAACTGACAAATTGTCAAAAAGTATAAAGCTTGGTTTTCACTAGCGACGGAAGCAGAAGCGGAAGCAAAAGCAGAAGCGTAAGACGTCTTATGTTGCTGTGAAAATCAAACAACGGAGACGTAAGCAGAAGCAGAAAGCACGGAAGGTTTCCTTTTTCTTAATGCTTCTGCTTCCGTCCTTACCTCGCTAGTAAAAACCAGATTCTTATGCTTCCGTCGCTAGCATACAGAAGCAAAGGTGGTAAGTCAATCAAATTCTCGTACTCAGTTGTCCCCTGCAAACATTGGATTCTTGCATTAACAATGGCTTCCCCTTGCACAAACATTAGGTTTTAAAAGAAAGTCCCAAATTTCTTCCAAAGGATTGTGTGACTGGTTCAAACTCCTTGGACAACTCATGAGAATGGACTACTTCGACGATACGGCGGCCATCTTGTCAGGGGGGTAATACAAAACATAGATGATAGTTTCGTGTGTTTGTCTTTCTTTTATTGGTAAAAGCGATCGATGTACAGCCGTCTTAATTTATCTTTTGTTGTATTCTCTTTTTTACAATATCATTACTATAACCGGCTGCTTTGTTTGCTCCCCTGGACGCCACATAATGCGGCCTTGGGATCCAAGATGACCGCCGTATCGTCGAATGAGTTCATAGGGACTAAGAAGAATTCTGAATTTCAAACAACTTCGCAAGAAGATTTTGTCATTTGAGAAAACATTTCAATATTAGTATGCGGGCAATTTTGAAGAAGTTTCAATGAGTATAATCAAAATCTTCTAAAAGCTGTCTAAAGTTTACAGAGTGTATGGTTGATATGGAAGCTTGAAACTCTGGTTCCACCTTAAGCGAAACACGTTGAATTTTGTTGGTGAAGGTTTCGTTTCATGTTGCATACCAATCTTAAAATGATCGTGAATCGTATGTAAACAATGTCAGCACACTGAAGAAAATGAAGAAAATATACTGACCCGAAAACGTGCAGAAAACGTTAGAGAAAATTCCACATCGTTGAGATGTGTTCAGCTATAGTAAGCTGAGAATTGTGTTTATTTGAACAGAAAAATTGATTAGAATGTAGTATGTGCACGTCTGAATGAAGGTTTCGTTTACACGTTACGTCAACACGCCATATTGTTAGTACAACTAACATGGCTGTCATGTCTTTGTCATTTTAATCTCTAAGGAAAACTTAGCGTTTGCAAACCATTAATAAGTGTAAAGTTTATCCTAAACGATATTGCAAGGTATATCAAATGGTATATCATGGTACCTTCTCTTAGTGCAAGGTAGTGCAACGTACACATTTTTTTTCACGTGAGAAAAGTTTGCGAGAAATCCTGCCCGAGCGCTTTACACTCAATTTCACATTACTCGTATTTTAAAAAACCCCAGCGGATTGGAAAATTCACTGCGAGATAACCAAAGTTTTTCATTCAATTCTTACTTGTGTGAAGAGCGAGACTTTGTACCTAACTTCGTTTGATCTCCAACAACCTGGTTAAGATTATGAAGTTAAAATTCAATGCAAATTTCAACTTTGTTTCGCCGCGTACTTGGGAATTTCCCAAAGTTTTTTTCATCCCGCTGCAGTAATTAAAACAATGTAAAAATGTCAGTAAAGCACTGGGGCGGGTCTTTAATCGAGAAAGAAAACGTACACGTCAGCACAGGTTTGTCCAAAGTTATTGTCTTGATTAGAGTTAATGAGATCCTGTCCTTCCCAAATCCTGAACTCTTTTCCTTTGGACACAGCAAGAGGTAGAGAAATGTCAGGGAACACGAGATCTGGACTCATGACCGTGAAGCCTGGTACCTCGTAGCGCATTGAATTCCATTTCATATCAAGAGGGTACCCAGATGGAGGGGTGATTCTTGAGTTCTGGGTATCGGTGACGTGCAATTCAAGGTGTGGATGGGGGTCTGCAGGAGCCAAAGTTCCCCAATTTCCTGGAGCTCCTCCATAAGAACTTCCATAAGCAGCAATTCCCCCTGAGATGTGAACGAGCTTGAATGTCTTGATTTTCCCATCAGCAGGAGCAAAGAATGTCCCGTAGCTGTCGTCTTTCGCACCAATACACACAGGAGCTGTGT